TCCATACTGACATACGTCCCCGGACCAAGGACCTCCTGCAACTCCGCCCTTAAGGGGCTAGTTGACAGGGTGCAGCGCTGTTCTAGGTAGGCCCCCCGCTTCGCCAGAGCGGGCATTTGAGCAGTACCACTGCGGGGCTTTGTCGTCCAGGCCTGTACCCATCCGGCTACTGGGTAGGTGGTTCTCACCACGACAGGGGCTGAGGCAGTTACACTTGCAGTGGCTAGTAAGGCTGCATACGCCGCAGCTGTTTCTCAGTCAAGGAATGCCTAACCTCAGCCCCCTGCCAGAGCTGGGGCCAGAACCCAATGGGCTGCCGTAGCCTCTCTGATTTCTGCCAGAGTCCCCACCCGAACCCTTCCTGAGTCACATGCACATCGAGCTCGCAGGGTCGGGCTGGGTCAAAAACCTGCAAGGCCCGAGCAGTCTTTGTAGTATGTTTGGCTGTTGCAAATGCTGTGTCTGCCTCAGCGGACCAATCCCACCTGACCCCCTTACGTATCCACATATACAAGGGTCGTAGGAGCTGGGCCATGTGCGGGATAAACGCCCTCCGGGAACCCAGCAGGCCCAGAAAGGCTTGCGGCTGCTCCCTGTGGTTGGAGTGGGGTCAGCTTGCACTTCACCTATGACAGCATCAGGGATAACCTTTGTCTTACGCGACCAAACAACCCCCAAGAACTTAACGGACAGTCCAGGCCCCTGCAGTTTGCTTTCATTGATTGCCCAGCCGCATGTTTTCAGGGGTGGCCACGGGAGAGGCGCTGCCTTTTCCAACTCTGCAAGAGTCACTCGTCAATAAAATGTCATCAGTGTAATGATACAAACGCAGTGTGATGGCCTCTCCCGCCGGGCCAGACCTGCTGCCACCAGCCCGTGGCACAGTGGGGCTGAGCAGGTCTCCCTGTGGGAGCAGTAAATGTCCATTGCCGGCCTTCCCACGTGAAGGCAAACGGGTCTTGACTCTCTGGAGCAATAGCTGTCCGGAAAAAAAGCATTTGCCAGATTGGCGACAAAATGATACCTGCCTAGCTCATGGCTCAAGACTATCCATCAAGTCTGCCACCGAAGCCCTGCAGCGTGCAAGGGGGGGGGGCAACTACCTTATTTCACTCACGATAACCCACTGTCATGCGCCAGGAGCCATCGGGCTTCTTCCTGGTACACACCGGCGAGTTGCAGGGGCTGTGGGCAGTACGCACGATGCCCACTTTCTCCGGTTCTGATATGGTGCCCGTAATTTCCTTGTGGCCTCCAGGCAGCCGATATTGCTTGGTATTAGTCCCTCGCCTAGGGACTAGGCAGTTGTGTGGGCCCATGCTTGGTGTGTCCTCGCACCACTGCCTTGACCACACGCACTCCAGGGTGAAACTCCGACTGTGGTCTTGAGCCATAAGCCACGTAGCACATCCACCCCCAGGACGTGCTCCGGGATGGGCGACACATGTATTTTATCCTCCTTCGGGGGTCATGGCCCAATCCCCAGGGACAGCCTCACTGCTGTCACCTGGACACTCTGGCCTCCACAGCCCTCACTGTAACAATCAGACCCTTGAAATCCTCCTGGATTTCCACAGAGCAGGGTACATTCTGCTCCTGTGTCTACCAAAGCCAAAGCTCTTTGCGCGTGAGTCGGGGCCAGTGGATGGCAGGCTCCACATGCGGCCTCCGGTCCCTGCCCGGCCCCTGTGGACGGGTTCCTTGGCCCTCACCCTATTCGAAAGTGATCGCCCGAGGATGGGGTTGGCAGCAGGTGGTCTTCCAGGCGCAGGGCGCGTGCCTGAGGCCTGACGCTTCCAAGCTTCCCCTGAGCAGCAGTCCTTCTCATGGGCGTGAGCCTCTGGGCTTCCTGCAGCTACTTCCGTAATTCCAACACGTACGCCCTGGGCTTCGCGTGGGTGCTAGTGCGGTCTACACCTGCTCTCACTACACCTGTCCACATTTGGTTACAGGTAACTTTAGCAGGCTCCGTGATGCCAAGAGGCTCACGCCCTCCTCGGCATAACTTTCGACTGTTCAACAACTGCCCGTATTCCTCTCCAAGCTTGCGCGTGCCGGCTCTCCACTGCACCCGGCCAGCTCTCGCTGTGGCGACGTCGTGGACTGACGTCCCGCGTAGGGGGCTAGAACTGCCGTGAGGGATCCAAATGCGGACAAGAGGGAACTTTTTCATACCAAGTCTCTCATCCCTCCTGTGAGCGTCACCATCAGGACCACGGGCATTCACGTTGCGCATGGCCTGCCGCATCCACAATTCCCGAAGCACCTGTCCCAGCGCGGCGTCCGTCTGCCATCTGCTCGCTGTCCCCGGCACGGCTCCTGCATCAGCCACACAGTTCGTGCGGCAGCCGTCACCCATCCCAGCAGGGTGTGGTCGCCCTGGCCGTACCGCCGGCCGTCCTGCAGCCTCTGTCTCCAGGGTGGGTGTGACGTCACGGGGGCCAGTCTCTGCGCCTCTTGCGCCGTCAGATAATCCCATCCACCCCGGGTCCCACAAACGCAGCAGCCAGGCTGCCAAGGGCGCCCCTGGCTTCTGGCGGCACTGTCTGCCCGAGTCCACCACTTCCTCCTGGGCGTGTGGTCGGTACGTGGGACACTGTCACGTGTGGTGGCCCAGCAGCCTCACCCCCTGGGGCCATGGGCCACTGCCACCTCATTTTCTGAGTCCCCACCGGCGGGCCCGGGGCACGGGACCAGCCTCCTCCTCCTCTCCAGGAGTCCGGCATCTCCGAGTCGCAGGTTGCTTTGCCACCCCCGGCTGCGACTCGGGCGAAGGGCCGGCCTCCGGCTCCTCCTCTGCTGGGGAGTCTGGCCTCTCCGGAATGGGGGGTTGGCGTCTCCCAACCTCTTCCTCCAGAATCCTCAAACGTTGCTGCAGTTCCCGCACCTCTTCCCGCCGCTCATCCCGTCCTTGCTGGACTCTGGCGCGCGCCTTCTGCCTGGCCTCTCACGGGGCTGCGAGAAACCCCCAGCCCACGGCCGCTGCCGCCTCGCGGGCCCCGTGTCTCTCCGGCGTCTCTCCCGTTTCGCACGGGGCCTGTTCCGATGCCCCGGGGATCCGTCTCCCTCTGGCCATTCCTGGGAAGCGCCCCCTGGGGGAGAGGCTGGCCACCGAGGACCATCTGCTCGTGGCCCGCGCCCCTCAACCTCTCCCCAGGTGTCAAAGGGCTCCATACCTGTCCGCGTCGAGCCGTCCTGCTTTGAACCGTCCTGCCGTCTACGCTAAGTGTAGCGCAGCCACCCACACCCGGTAGGATCATCCCTGGTTCGCAGCCGTGTCGGTGTCCTCACGCGCTCCGCCGCTCGTCGCCGTGCTCCGTCGCGCTCCGCCACACACCTCCGTCCACGCCACCGCACTTCTCCGTCCTCAGCCCCGCACCGCGCTGCCCCGCGCCATGCCAGGCCACGCCACGCCAGGCCACACCACGCCACACCACACCATGCTGCTTGGCTGAGTGCGCATGTGCGGTGGGAGGGTGGAAAAGCCCGAAGCTCCCCCACTACTTACCCCCCAGGGACCCGCTCCCGGGCATCCACGGGTGCCTGGGCTCCCCACAGCTGGGGGCCAGTCCCAAGAAGGCGAGTGGGACTCACTGCCCACTGGGCCAGCAGCCAGTCCCCGTCCCCACCCTGCTGCCGGCCCCGCTTGCTTGCCCACCCGCACAGACCCCCCTGGGGGCGCGCCTGAGCGAGGCTGGCTGTGAAGAGGCTCCTGCCGGGCACGAGACAGCACCCCGAAGCCTTGGAGTCTCCGTCCTGCTCGGAGCAGTGGTTGTCCCGAATCAGAACCTTGGAAACAAGGTCACCGGCAGCTCGTGGCGAGGGCGCAGGAGACCGTCCGGGCCGTGCACACCCCCAGTGCCGCCCTCAGCCCTGCCCGTTCCCTGGGCCTTGGCTTCCTCTTGGGCGCCCTCCCGGGGGGGGGGCCCAGAGCTGCCTGGGGTCACTGGCAGACTCGAGGGGGGCTGCAGCCACGGGCTCGCGGGCAGGCCCTCCCCTGGGGCGGGGAGAAGGCTGGGGCTGCGCGGGTGCTTCGCCGTGAGCCCGCGGCCTGGAGACGGGCTACTCTCTGCAGTGACGGGGCAGGCTGCCCGGACGGCTAGCTGGGCGGTGCAGGAGGGACGGCAGACCGCCCGGCTCGGGCAGCGCGCTCTGCAGGTCAGCCAAGTCACCCCAGGCGCCTTCTGGAGGGTTGGGGCTGGGACACAGGTGGCCAGCACCCCCGGACTGGGTGGCCAGTCGGCCTGGGCCATCCCAGGCAGACATGAGAGGCACCTGCGCAGCCCCCCCCCATTTTATCCATGACAACTTGGGGAAGGAATCTCCATTTAATGAGCAGATTTTTTTTATTGAAGATTTTATTTACACATACAAGAGCTGGGGTACAGGCCAGAGATGGGGGGGGTGAGGGCTCCCCGGAGACAGAGTGGGGAGCAGAACAGGCAGATCCACTGAAATCCACTGCTGAGGGGAGCAGCGGGGAGGCAGGAGGGGTCTGCCGCGCCCTGTGGGCAGCTCCCTGGCCGGGGATCTAACGTGCTGCAGGGGCTGCGGACAGCCCCTGTGCTTGACCCCTTGGCCACCAGGGAGGCCCCTAATGACCACATCTAAGGACAGATTTGTCCTCCAAAGTGGATGTGGTTTTTGCTGTCAATCCCTGGGGAAATGTTTGTTTCAGAGGGAGGCTGGAGGCCTGGACCACGGCCTGAGTCGGGTGGGCAAGGCCTGCCCTTGTGGGGTGTGGCCCCTCTCAGACTTGCGCAGCTGAGGTGCTGAGGGGCGGGTTCCGCGCCGCGCCTATTTGACCTTTCACCCAGGGTGGGCCAGTGCGCGCGTGTGTGGGGGGCCCGGCTCAGGCAGGACGCGGCCCGTCGGGCGGCTGGAGGGACCCCGGGGGCACCAGGCAGGCTGGGGGACGAGCCACGCTCCACAGCCAGCAGGACAGAGCCAGCCCGTCAGGTCAAAGACTGAAGGCCCCGACTTCCCACAAAGAGCCGAGCTCAGAGCAGCGGCGGCTCCTTGGGCCTGGGAGGACCCACGGGGGCCGCAGCGTCCGAGGCAGCCGGGCCAAGGTCAGGGTGTGGCTCTGCAGCGCAGCCGCCCTCCAGGCCACGGGCCCTCTGCGGCCTGGCCAGTGCCACCCGCAGGGGGCTGGCGCCCAGGTGCAAGCCCTGCAGGCGAGAGACGGCCTGCTGCGCCGAGGCCTGGTCCTGGTAGTGGAGGAAGGCCCTGCCCCGCGGGCCCTGCCACGTGAGCCGCCCGGGCATGGAGCCCAGCTCCCGCAGGGCGCACTTCAGCTCCCGCACCCGGGCACCCGGGGGCAGGTTCCCCACGTAAACAGAGGCGGCAGGCGGGGGCTTGGGGCTAGAGGGTGCACCCTCACCCTGCGCAGCACCCACTTCCGGCCGGGCTGGGACCCGGGGTCTCCCGTCTGCACTCGAGGGAGCCTTCTCCCCGCCATGAGTTTCCGGAAGGTGCCGGCGCTCGTCCCGGAGGGCGACGTCTTTCCCAGCCTGCTTCTCCCGCTGCCGGAGGCTCCTGAGGACCGGGATCTTCCCCAGCATCTCCCAGCTGACCTGGAAGGGGAGCAGCCGCAGCTACTCTGGGGAGCCCCGGGGCCCACGGCCGCGCCGGCCCGGCAAGAACAGGAGCTGTGGCTGGCGTGGCGCTGGCGGTGGGCCCGGCCGCCCGGGAGGGGCCCCTGGCTGGTAGCCAGCAGCTCTGCGCCCTCCCGGCTGCAGGGAGCTGGGCTCGGGGCCTGCCTTGGCCCCCCACGCGCTGAGGCAGCCGGGGGAACAGGCTCTGCTGTCTCCTCGCCCAGAGGTTCGGGGAGCAGGAAGGCCTGCAGCCCGGGAAGAGCTGAGGTCACTGGGGTTAGGGTCGCCCGACGACAACCCCTGAACAGGGGGGACTTCTGCCTTCATACCGGCCCCGCCCGGCAGCCTCTGCTTGAGGCGAGGTGGGGTCTTAAGGGGACGCAGGGACCGCCGCCTCCTCTCGGGGCAAAGCTGCCCCAGCGCGGCGGGCAGTGCCGGCGGCAAGCCCCGGGAACCCGGCTCCGGACACGCCCCCGCCGAGGCCCCGCGGAGGGCCGGGCACCGCGGAGGACGAGCGCCTCGGCTGCGTACGGCTTCTGCACGCCGGGCGCCTTTGGCTTTCCGCCTGCTGTCTCCCCGGGTGTTTCTGGAAGCCTTTTATGAGGGCTGCGGGGACGGCTCAGCCTGTGTGTCCCATTTCTGATGCAAGACATCGCCCACCCGGCCTCCGCTGGGCCTTGGAATTGAGGCATCAAGGTGGCTAAGGCAGCGGGAGCACCCGGAGCCTCGGGGTCCCAGGAGCCCCAAAGCAAACCCCAAGCGCAGCCAGCCCCTCCCTCCGACCCCGCTCCCAACCCCGCGGAGTTCAGGCCCGCGTGCTCTCTGGGGCTACAAGCAGACGCCAGCTGGTCCCAGGCAGACCCTACGGGCACCGCAAGTCGCTAGACCCGGCATTTGGAGAGTCCGGGGAACTTGAAGCTGCACCCACAGTCAGGAGAGAAGCCGGGCCCCGTGGGCTCAGTCCAGTCTGCACAGCCTGTCACAAGGCCCAGCCACGAGCCCCCTCGGGGGGCTCAGCCCCGGGGCACCCTCAGGCAGGAGAAGGTGCTCTCAGGAAAGCTGACCCCTGTGGCCAGGCCCCCCACGTGGGCAGCAGACACCCACTGAAACACCACGCGAGGCGCAGGCACCTCCCAGGGCACGCCGCCCCTGCGAGGGCACCCCCAGCCCAGGGAGTCGGCTGGAGAACGATAAAGAGGCCTGGGCGATGGGCCGGCCGCCCCCACGCTGGCCTTGCGGGGCTCCCCTTACACAAGACTCCAAGAGCAGCCGGGGCTTTGGGCAGGTGTGAGGCTGGATGTCACTCCTCCGCGCCCCGCCCGCAGGCGCCCCGCCCCCGGCCCCAGGCGGACGGCTCCATCCCGGCCCACAGCCCACGGAAAGGCCCGGGGAGCGGCCGCCTTGCCCTCAGGCTCCGGCGGGCCGGGCTGCACGAGCAGGCTGGCTGCGTCGCGGGCACTGAGAGCTGGCAGTCCTGCTGCTCAGTCGTCGAGCGCAAAGCCGCTCGGTTAGAAGCCGCAGCCAGCAGGCCTGCTTTCCCTCCGGGCCGTCGGCCACGCACAGCCCCGGACTCCCGCCCCCGGAGCCTGCGCCAGGTCAAGCAAATCAGAAACGCGCCTCCCCCCAGAGGCTCCGCCTCGCGCCCCCCAGGCCCCTGGTCGGGGCCAGCTGTCGCCTCGCCCTCAGCTCGCCTGACCGCGGACAGGGCACAGGAGGGAGACCTCGAAAATCCGAGGGCAGCGCCCCACTAGGGAAGGGGGCGTCCAGGCCCGGGGACCCACCTTGGACCACGTGACTCCCGTGGGCCTTGGGCGCCGGCAGCCGGTGGCGACCACTCTCGTGGGGGTGAGGATGTAGTCCACGCTGAGGTCGTGGTCCTCCAGGAGGCTTTCGGGGATGTCCACCACCTGCCCAGAGGGAGGGCAGGGCTGAGGGGCCGCTCAGGTCAGGCTCTCCCCAAACCGCCGCGGGGAGGCTGAGCCCGGAGCGTCCGCCTGCCGCCACCGCCCACCCGGAACCCACCTCCCCACGGAGCACGGCAGGGCCCCGAGGGGCTTCCCAGGAGGCACCTGGCAGTCGTGGACGATGGTGACCACTGGAGTGCCGGGGCCGACCGCGCCCATGGACGCCATCATGGCGTATTCGAGGTCCGCGTAGCCTTCTCCCTTCCCGATTCTCCAGCCTGAAGAGAACGCAGGGTCAGCGCCTGCGGGGTGTGGGCGGCCACCCCGGAGTCGCGCTCTATGGGGTCGCTGTGGAAGGCGACGCCTGGACCAGCACCCGGCCCTTCTGCAGACGGCACGGCGGCCCCGCAGGCAGCCGGCGCCGTCACGCGGGTAAGCCCAGCCCAGCGGCTCGGGCTCCTCACAGGAAGCGCGTCAGCAGTCAGGCGAGCAGGGCCCGGAGACGAGCGACGGAAGGCTGGTTTCTAGAAGGCCAAGAGCAGAACCCACTGGAAAGACTCTTCCCGATCAGCGGCCCCGGGTGGGACAGAAAACGCTCAAGCCGGAGACGGGCGGGAAGGTGGCCTCGCCTGTCCCGCGGGTCCCCGGCGGCCCCGGCCTTGAGGGGCAGGGCCGAGGCAGCGCCAGGACCACCACGATGGGGAGGAGATCCCGTGAGATCCCGGCCGCTGCCTCGTGAGATTTGGGTCCCAGACCCTGGGGCACCACCGGGATCACAGGCGCGGGAGGAGGCGCTCGCGGGCGGGAGGGCAGCAGTGGAAGGCCGGGCTCCTGCGAGGCCCCAGGCAGCTCCTGTGTGGCATCAGCGCCCCCGACCACGGAAGGCCCTCGTGGGTGCGTGGAGACCAGGCCGCGGAGAGACAGCAGAAGCTCTGTCCGGCCCCCGGCCCCTCGCCCCGCACACAAGCCGGCGCTCGCAGGGCCAGGCCGGGCTGGGCAGCCTGTGCCCGTGGAGGCTTCTCGACCCGACCTGCCCCGTGCTGTCCGGGAGGCGGTCGCTTCGCGACAAAAACAAAGCCTAGAACCCCTGCTACTGTGGAGGGGCCGGGGGCCGGGAGGGCTGAGCGGCCTCCCAAATGAAGGACAGATGCGCCGTGGGGGCGGGCGCGCCCAGACAGCCGAGCACAGAGCGGGCAGATGCAGGCGAGGGCGACTCTTACCTTTCTCAGAAACGGCGACAGACCCCACCACAACCAGGTCCACGGCGACCCTGGCGTCCAGGCCCAGGGGGACGCTGTAGCTCCTCACTCCCTGTGGACAGAGACGGGCCATGAAGCCCCGGGGCAGGGCGCCCACCCCTACCTCACGGGCAGGGCCCCAGGGCCCTGACCCCACAGACTCAGCGGGGGGAAGCCCGGGGCTCAGCACCCAGGAGGGGGTGCTCCCACCGTCTCTCTCCCAGAACAGATGCTGGGAGGAACGGCCAGCGTGAACAGGCAGGATGCCGACGTGTGATGGACAGCTTGTCCAGGAGGCAGAGGACACTGAGGTCACAGCACAGGCTCAGGGTCACGGGCTGGGCCTCCGAGGGAGACCGGCCCGCGGGCTTTCCTCTCACCCGGCGGCAGGCGTGGAAGTGAAGAGGGCAAGCTGTGCCCTCACAGGCAGCAGGGGCAACGTGGGGAGCCACACGTCAGGCCAGCACGAGATATGGGGCGTCCCCGTCCGCACAGCACCTCACTTATGACACGTCCTCTTTAGCCACAGCGCGGCAGCAGCACCGAGTGCCCGGGGAGGCCGGTCTGTGGGGCCGGGCAGACGCTGCGCAGAGCAAGCCTCAGTGGTCGATCCTTGGGTGTTGCTCAGACCTGGCCACGGGCTGGGACAAGTCCTCACAGGACCAGTATATGCATCGGGTGGGGGTCTCCCGAGTCAGACCACAGGAACTGCCCAGGGTGCCCGCTCTGGGAGAGCCTGTCTCCTCACGGAGGCACCAGGCAAGCAGCTCCGGGCCTGGCACATGTCCCCATGGTGCTAAAGGCCCTGCCGGCAGCCCGGGTGAGCAGCCCCTGGGGGGTTTCTGTGCTGTGACCCCCTGCCAGACTCCTATCTCCTCACGTGGCAGCCTCTCCTGCTTGGTCCAGCAGAGGGAAGGTGAGCGAGGGGTCCCCGGGTCTCCACAGCCTGTCCTTTGGGGCGCAGTCAGGCCTGTCTGCCTGCCCGTGGCCGGCACTGTGAGATCAGAGCCAGCAGAGGGGCAAGTGACGAGGTCAGGGAGCCCGGCCTGGTGCGGTGGCAGCGGCCGGCCACGGGGCCTGGGGCTCGAGCCCTCACCCCATCGGGGCCTGCGTTTGCACCAGGCGCGCCTGCGCCACTCTCCACTCTGCGTCGTGAGGGAGTGACGCGCTGCCTGAGACCTGCCCTGGGTCCCTGAGCCTGAGCCTTCTCTCGGGTTTGACACAGAACAAAACCAATCTGCTGTTCAGCCTTTAGCAAAGCCCAGCCCAGCCCTGGGAGTGGCCTGGAAGGACGCTGGGCCTTGGCACATGCAGAGGTGCGTGTGCGATCAGGCATGGGTGGGGGGGTGAACTGGGGGGGCAGGGGGCAGACATGCCTGACCTGGGCCTTAGTCCCAGGGAAAGGGAGGCTCTGAAGCTGCCAACCCATGCCACCCAGCCCTGGCTCCAGACCCCTGGGCGCAGCTGGGAAAAGCTCCGGCACAGATGGACACCAGGGGGCGCCAGAGCACAGGGCCACTAGCGGCTCCTCCGCGTTTTGCAGCTTGCCGGCCGGCCTGGGGCAACAGAAGTGGAGCGGAGTGGCCAGGCCGTGGGAACGCGGGGCGGGCTTCCTGCTTGGCTCCTGGAGCTGGGCCGTGGGTGCTCCAGCAGCTCCGCCTGTCGGCCTTTGGTGACAGTAGCTTTCACCTCCGCGCTGTCTGCTGCTGTTAGAACTGGCCGGGGCCTGGTTGGTGCTTTCCTGGGGGCGACATGGTGGCGGGCACCCACCTGGGAGGTGGCACACTTCCTCAAGGTGTCCTTCGTGGCCCCGGGGGGCGGCGTGATCCGATTAAACAGCCCTGTTCTCAGGCGTGGTGTTGGGACCAACAACGTTTTCTTGCTCTTTAAAAAATAAAAGAGACAAGCGGTAACTCACGAGGTGAAACAGGGAGGCCTAGGGCTGTGCATTCTGGAGAGGGCCACGAGCTGCGTGTCTGCATTTTCAGGTGTGTGCCACGCAAACGGCTCACAGGCGGGCACAGCTCAGAAAGTGGGGGCCAGTTCCTCTCGGAGCCGTGGCTCCACGCCCCGGAGGACACATGTGGCCCGGCGCCCTGATGCTCCTTCGCCTGCCACGCGAACCCTAAAGGTCAGAAATAGCAGCAAACCCACACCAAGGTCTGTGCTCGCAAGCCCCAGCCTGGTTGTGGCTGCGCCTCTGTCCGCAGAGCCCGTCCGGGCAAGGCTCAGGCTGGAGCCCGGAAGGGCGCGGGCGGCCGCCTCAGAGGCGGGGACTCTGCTTCTGCCGGGAGGGGCTGCTGGCAGGGCATGGCCCTGAACCGCACGCGGCCGAGAGCTGGCTCCAGAGGCCCACCCGGGCCAGAACCCCGGCTCCACCGCCAGTGCCGACACGTGGGCCGAGGTGGCGGGCGAGGCACCTCGCAGGCAAGCGTCGGCGGGAGGTGGCTCATGGGTCACACCCGCGCACCGCGGGGCCTCCGCTGCGGCCCGGCCACTGCCAGTGCACTGGCCTGTGCTACTGACCGCCGGCAAGAAACTGTGCTCTGGAAGGCTCAAAACGGGGGTCCCTCTTGGAGTTCACCCCGTTGGCAGTCCAAGCGCTCCCCCACAGGAGAGGCTGGAAGAACCAGAGCAGGTCCCACACGGCCGCCCCCGGCAATGACTGCCCGCCCTGGCCCCTGCACCACGCAGGCATCTCAGGAGGCAGATGCGCCTGTGGGGGCCTGGCCCGAGCACTGTATGGCGTCGGCCGCGGGCTGCTCCCGAGGCCCTCAGTGAAGTGCGCCAGGGCTGGGGGCTGCTGTTGGTTCACGGCCAACCCTGGTGTCACACAAGAGCGTGAGCGTTGAAACCACGGCAAATTGGGGGCATCCACCTTTTATGTCAAGTTAGAATGATTCAGTCACTGTGGGGGGAATGTTTTCTTTCTCTTGAAAAGGAGCCCATGTTTTTGTGAAATACTGCTCTGATTTGTATATTTGGGAGATTCATTCATCAGAATCTTCACCCGCGGGTTGTCTAGTTTCTAAGTTAGGACGCTACAAGTGAAGCCGAAGGAAGCGGGCCTGCTGCAGCCTCTCTCCTGCGAGTCCCGGCCCACGCTCGAGGCCCCTGTCCTCTGGGGGTAGAAATGCGAGGGGCAGCTGGACAGCCGAGACCCAGGGCCGCCGCCCCACACACAGGGTCGTGCCCTCCCGGCCACCCGAGACGGCGCTGGCTCGGGCCCTGGGGTTACCTGCAGGGCCAGCAGCCGGGCGCCTTCCAGCGGCTTGTCAGGGTCCACTTTCACTTCCTGCGACCTGGAAAAAACTTCCAGGCCTTGGAGGTTCTGGCCGGCCAGGTGGGAACCCTAGTCAAGGCAGACAGACAGACACTTACTTCCAGGACGAAGAAGCGAGCGTGTTTCTGGGGCGCGTCGGGGTTGACTTTAATGGTTCTGGCCATTCTGAACGCCTGCAAGCGAGGGAGGTGGTCGGCGGCTCGAGCGGCGCCCTGTGTAAAGGCAGCTGCCGGTTACCCGCTGGTCGGCATGGGCCGGCAGGCAGGGGAGGAAGGGGCTGAGGTGGCCAGCCTCGCCCAGTACTTTTTACTGAAATAGAGCAGCCCTTCCAGAACGCGTGCAGAGCACAGACATGAGGCCAGGTGGCCCTCAGGGACAGCGCGTGCCTTCGTAACCAGGGCCCAAATGAGGAAGTGGCTGGTTCCCACTGAGCGGAACCCCTCCGCCCCCCTCCCACGACTCCTTTTTAAGGGTGTTTCTGTTGATTCTGTGCAGCCCGTCCCATCTTTTCCCTGCGCTTCACGAACCTCTCTCTCCCTGGAATAAGCAGCCCTTAAAGGAAAGTAGTAACAAAAAAACCCTACCAAAGTTTTTCAAAGGGACCCAGTTCAGGGCCTGAACTCGCTCCAGAGAAGCCAGGCTGGGGGAGGAGTCGGCCTAGGTTGGGGTGGGGCGGCTGGCAAGCAAACGGGTCATGCCCTTCAGGCCTGGCAGAGCCCTCGGGTGTTTTCAAGACCCCTCTGGTCCTCTGAGACAGCACGCGTGCCGGCAGTGGGGAGCTGTGCCCGGCCGCCCTTCTAAAGCCGACTGTTTCCTACTGACGTCCTCATAGCAGGCATTTCTGACATCTTCCACTCTGAACGGCTGCTGGGAGGGCCCTGAGGGGTCTGGCAAGGCCTTCCTCTTTCCGGTGCTGGGGGTGGGGGGCTTCTCTGTCCGAGCACCCCTCCTTAGCGGTGGAGGACATGGGGTCTGAGGACTGGCAGGCAACTCGCCTCCAGCAGGACTCACATGCTACCGGGTCTCGAAAGTAGGCAGAGCACACCCGCCCGGACCCCACCCCGCAGGCCGAGGTGCGGAGAGCAAGCCTCAAGCACCAGGCATCCAGGCACCGCCCCGGGGGCTGGGACTTCTCGCTGCTGCTTGCTGTTCACCCAACTGCAGTGCGCCCGCGGCAGACAGCCATGGCTTGCTGCTAATGCTGCTCGCCTAGGGGGCTCCCGCTTTCCTTCCGCATGCTCGGGAAATGCTTAAGTACCTTGAAGTTGGGAATCCTGTGGTGGACAGGTCGGGGGAAGTCAGCTAAATTTTGTGATTCCATGTAGTCCCAGATTCGCTCACGAATGTCCTGTTTGGAAATACCTAACGAGGAAGGCGCGACGGATTAGCAGGCAGGAGGCCACTCCCAGCGCCTGCGGCCCCAGGCCCTGAGGCGTGCCTGCTCCCTCAGTGCCCTCCACTCCCCACACCGCACTGCAGCCTGGGCTTTCCGAGCTCTACAGTGAAGTCAGGGCTAGGGGTCGTGACAGATGACTAATGTGCAAAACGGGATGAATTCAACACCACCCAAGTGTCCACCAAGTCTCACTAACCTGTAGCAGAACAAGGCACCCCAGAATACGGCACCCGTGTTCCACAGCAGTCAAAGCACTGCCAAGTAGCACCCAGCCCACCCATCTGTATGCGTCTACTCTTGCTGTCAAGTTCATAAGCTTGCCCAAGTGTTCTGTAAACCAGCTCTTCCTTGGGATGAGCAGCGACAGCCCCTGCTACTAGTGTGGGAATCCCTGCTCCTATAGCCAACTTTGTAAACACATTTTAAGGCAGCAGAGAGCCTGTATTTATTTGGGGCAGTCTTCACAAAATTTACACTAACCATGTGCTCCCCTTGGAGAAATAGAAAAAGCAGCTTTCAGTGAAGCGGTGAAAACACAACACCAGCACCTTCACATAGTTGCGTCTTAATCATTCCGTGAGTTCTGCTCTAGTACCCTGGGGATCCTGTCATGAGGTGCTGAGTGAGGCCCTGACTGTCCAGCTTCATACCCTATTCCTCACTTTGAATTCAGATGTGGCTCGGGCACTGTGGGTCCATCTCCCCGTCAGGGCTTCACGCCTCCCTCCCCTGGCCCCCCACCACTGCACTCAGCTCTAGCATAGCCACCTCCTCCAACAAGCACCCCGAGCGGTCAGTGGCAGACAGATGTCTATCCTGCAGGAACCCAGAGCACCGTCACTTTGGATTTCCAGACAGAAGCAATTAGAGGCCCACCTGTATGGTGAATACATTTATCACTTTCACTGGCAACCCCGAGGCCATAGGCGGCGCCAACACATTGCAGGATGCTGTGTGCACACAAGGAACACAGGCACTGTGGCCCTTGCCACGGGAGGGTTGATTAATCACATTTAAATGGCTCCCATTTATAAAGCAATGGGCTAATTGGGAGCGGAGGGGGAGAATAAAAGGAAAGGGCAGGAACTTGCCCCTGGAAAGTTAGGAAAACATGGGAGATGATTAGGATAACAAGAAGCGACATGTATTAATGTGTGAAAAGCCTGAACTCTGTTCTGTTACCGCCTGTCAGGTCAGCCGGGGCCTCGCTCACTCCTCCACCTCTGGCCCTGAGCTCAGACCTGGCCCCCAGCAGGCACCTCCAAAGGTTTATGACCCCCCCTTGTTATCAGCGCCGGCTGTGCGCTGGTCCCGGGCTGCACGTGTGGGAGGGCGGAGTGGACGCCGGCCGTGCAGCGCCGGGCGCAGCAGGAGTTCCAGGACTGGGCACTATCTCCGCCCGCCACCCGCCATCCATCACAGCTCGCCCCCGCTGGGGGGTGACCTCCTAAGCCCGGGGGCTCAGAACGCGTCTCCCGGCGCCCGCAGCGGGCCTGGCCTGCACCAGGCATTCGCGAGGCGGTGGGCACGCGCGCGTTAGGTCAGGAGGGTCTCCGGCCCGCCCGTGCCCCCGCTGTTGGCCGCAGCGTCCCCCGGGGGGCGGAGGTCGCGGGCAGCGGCGACGACGGGCGCGTGCACACGGCGCCCTCCTCCTCCGTGCCGGGGCAGCTTTATTCGAAACCCACCCAGACCCTGGCGCGCCCCTCACCCGCCCACGGCTCCATGGCGACGCCGTCAGAGAGCGAGCCCGGGCGGATCGGAGACTGTCGCGCGCGGTGACGCCACGCGCCCGCGCCACGCCTGCGCGCTGGCCTGAAGGGGGCCGAGGGCGTCGCCCGCGCCTGGAGGGAGCGGCCCAGCGCGCGCCTGCGTCTGCGACTCCGCGGGCCAAAAGAGGAGGAGCAGCGGGACGACTGGGGCGCCCCGAGCGCGTCCCTAGTTCATGGAACAAGCCGTCTCCCAGCGCCCGCTCTTCGCTCTCGGTCCCGCCTGTGCGTAGCTCGGCCCGGCGCGCCCATGTGACGTCAGGGCTGCCGGCCCGGCGCGCCCATGTGACGTCAGGGCTCCCGCGCCGTCGTGGCGCCCGCCTGCGCCCTGGGGGCCGAGGCACGGTGAGTGCCGGTCGGGAGCGGTGCCCGTAGCGTGCCCCGGGCGGGCCGGGCGCCTTGGAGGCGTACAGGTGCGCCCTGCAACCGGGGCCGCGACCCCGCGGGCTTCCAGGAAGCCGACTCAAAAATGTCACAGAACCAGGTCCACGGCTGCACCCCACCCCCACCCCCGCCCGAGACCCCCAAGGGGCTTCGCCCCGCGCCCGCCCCGGCTCCACATCCCCAGCTCCCTCCCGGGCCTGGCCAGGTAAAGGCGTTCGCTGTCTTGGTTCCACGCGAGGGAGCCGCGTGTTTCACCAGGCTCGCAAAGGTCCAAAGCATTGCTTTCCTGCGGGGGAGGCTATGGCACGGCCTCAGAGAGCCCGGTATTCTCCGCTTTCAGGAAGGCAGTAGCGCTGAGGAGTGTTTTATGCCCTTGACCTGGCCCCGCAGCAGGAACGTGTGCAGGACTCAATGAGCCAGCTCAGGACAGAGCAGGTGCTTGGCCAAGTCCCTCAGATGGACAGCCTGGCACATCCCCAGGTAAGGGCTCACGGGACAATCGCCCCCAGTGGCTGTTTTATTTTACTGAGACATTTGACATGGAAGGTAGCGGTTACTTTGACGCATTTATATGTGGTGCTACGTGATGGCTGTTGTAGCTGGATCCCATGGCAAGGTCACAGAACAAAGCTGCTGTCTGTTACACCGGGCCTTAGGTCTTTGGCTAATTCACTACTTGTACGTGTGTACCTTCAGACACCACTAATCTTCCCCCTCCCATCCCTGGTAACTCCCATTTTACTCTTTCTGCAAGCTTGACTCTTTAGATTCTACCCCTCAGCGATACTGTGCGCTCTTCGTCTTTCTTTGTCTAACTTACCTCACTGAGCACAATGAGCTCAAGGTCCATCCCTGTGGTTGCAAACAGGAGAGTGTCCTCCTTTGTCATGGCCAAATAATATTCTGTCCCAATATATCCCACATCTTTTTGATCTGTTCACCAACTGACAAGCATATTGTGAAAAATAAGGCAAAAAATGGATAGTTTATTATCCATTTATAATGAGAAGCCCTCATATGGGAATGTAAGAGGGGCAGCCTCGCCGCCACACCCTGCGCACCAAGGCCTGCACCGGCTTTCTCTCACACAGGGGTCTCCAGCTCCTGCCCCTTCTGGGTAACTTCCACCTGCAACACGGACACCAGGTGGGACAGGCTGCATTGGCCTTGTGCAGCCCTATGCCTCCCTGTCTGCACTCCCTGTCATAAATAAATTCTGTAGTTGTTTCTCCTCATGTGTCTGCTGTTGGGTCATGTTGTAACCATACAGGTGAGACCCACCCACTAGGTCAAGACCGATCCCCTGGATTTTCTCAGTTTTGGGAGAACATATCTCTTCAAAACCCTGTCTCTGGCTGTCTACCCAGAGGTGGAATGTAGTTAGCATGGCCATGCAACCCCAAACCATCTAACTCCATGCAGGTGCCATCAAAATGCTAGAAGCATCCTGCACAAAAATAAATGATTCTAAAGTTTTCGGGGAACCGCAAAGACCCTGAATAGCAAAGCGATCCCAAGACAAGAACAAAGCCAGTGGATCGTGCTTCCTGGTCTCACGCTCTACTGCAAAGCCGCAGCAATCGAAGCAGCACGGGCTGGCACAAAACGCGCCCTCAGCCCCTTGGAATGGGAGAGTCCAGCCGGTACAGTCCCGTGACACTCCACGGGGCAGGAGCCCAGTGGGGCAGGGAGAGTGTTTTCAGCAGACGGAGCTGAGCAAGCAGGAAACGAGCGCAGAAGACGGACAGTGGGCCCGGGTGGCCCTGGAAGGAAGGACCTTTCCCTTAGCACCGCCACGGGGGGCCTTCACGTCGGAAGCACCACAGAAGAATGAATAGTCACGCCGCCGCTCCATGCCAGACTGCCCGCTGCCCTCTGCATGCCCTCGTGCCCGCCGAGGCCACCGCTCAGCAGCTGAGGAAGACGGGGCTGCGGAGCAGTGGTGGCTTTGATGAACACGTAAAGGAGCAGGTGCAAGAAGGGCTCTTCGAGAAGTGGGGCAGTGACCAAGCCATAGTGACCGCGCCGAAGAACTGAGAGTGCTTTGAAAAAAACACGGTTTTCATGCCCGTTGGGAGAGAAGTTTGGAGAAACTATAGCTGACGGCAGAAAAACTCAAACCGCAGTTTTACCATCTGAGTCGGAACCCCAGCCCCACTTTGGGCAGGGTGAGCTCGCGTGACGCCCAGGCCCTGCCGGGCGAACACACCTCCACGCGCCTCTCCCGTTTCCGTGCTCGGCGGCTGCTCACACAGATACTTCACGTGCAGCTGCTCCAAAGTCGGTTTCCTTAGGCTCAGCCCTTTGGTCAGTGAACAAATGTTCGTTATTAAAACAAAAAAGAATGAATAGCCACGAAAGAGGCGGCGCGGGAGGCGGCGGCGGGCTCTCCACCAGAGGGAGCTTTTCGAGCCGTAACCCATGGGCCCCGCGCCTGCCTGTCCACTTGGGAGCTGGCTCAGGGCTGTTGCGGCTTCACGGCCATGGAGAGGAAGGTGTAGACACACACAGCCCCCCACCTCCCCGCACGGCTGGGCCTTGGCGGCGCCAAGGATGCCTGCGAGGACGCGTCCTTATCCGGGGGGAGGTCATGCTTACGTGGACGCTGAATGCTGTGTTAGGAGCTGGGCCTTGGGAGGTGACCGGCCCGAGGACAGAGCCACAGGGTGCATGTCAACCCTCCCGCCTGGGCCAACATAGCCATGTCTGAGCTTGGGAGCCGCCCCCCGCCGGCCAGCTGCCCGCCTTGACGAGGACACCCGGCCTCCGGAGCTGGGGACCGAGCGCTCGTCTCCGGCCTGGGCTCTGATGTTTGTGTCCCGGCTCCTTGTCCCCTCCTGCTCCTGTGCCTGCTCCTCACTCCCCTCCTCTCCCTCCTCCCCTCTCTCATCTCTTCCTCCCCCGCGTCCCCTCTTCCTTGCGTTCCTCCCACCGGAGCCCACTTGGGTGTCTGCGCCAGCACTCACGGCTTTCCCCGGCCCCACCGGTGGAAGCGCAGACGTCTCCCCCTGCCACACGGGCCTCTGCTCCCTGCCGACTCCATCCCTGTCACTCAGCGCCTCCTCCCTGTGCAGTGTCTCCCCTCCCAGAAGTGCCCTTCCCCACCCACACCCAGTTTTTGCAGATCAAAATTTTCATGCCAGATGGGCCTGGTGTGGGGCTGGGCGCTCCTCTGGCAGCGGGGCACGGGAGAGGGCAGACAGGCCCCTGCGCTGCGGCTGGAGTGAAGCCTGGTCCCGGCTGCTGGTGGGGGTGGCCTAGAGGTGCAGGTTCCATGTCTGCTGCACAGACTGGCTGGACCACAGGGGCCAGGGGCCCTTCTCATTCTGTGTGCACAGAGCAGGACGGCCAGGCCCCTCTGCTGCCCACATCCTGGTACTGGCGAGGCCGGCACAGACGGGGAGATACTGGGCCAGGCGGAGATGCATCGGGGAGGGGCCGTGCAGGGAGGGGCCAAAGACATGAGTGGTTGGGAGGCCTCAGAGGAGGCCTGGGGTGAGCAGGCACCGAGGCCGAGGGGCCAGGCAGAGGGCATGCATGTGGAGAGTGCCGCTGGCTGGCATGGGAGCCCCATGTGGGCACACCAAGCTGGGGCTCCCAGGGGCCCTCCTGGCTTTTATCACCTTGAGGAGCAGGAGCAACCAGCCCCCGGGCCTCCCTTGTGACGCAGGCACACACGGCCCGCACCCGATGGGCTGCACACCCCACCCGGCCTGCAGCCCAGGGCCCCCAGCAGGCTCGAGTCCACGCGCACACTTCTGAAACTGCGTCTCTCCCCGCCGACTGCCTCGCTCATACGCACGTTCCTCGTTTAACCTTCGGTGTCTCCGCTCCTTTCTAAAGAGGCAGCAGAGACCGTGACCACCTCTTTAGGGCGCCAGCGGCCCTGGCCCCGTGTGCAGTCATGGCCACACCGGGTGTGCGGTGGTGGGTGGGCGTCACCCCCTCTGACCGACCCATGCACCCTGTGAGCCAGGCAGGGACGCGGCAGCTGGATGCAGCTGTCGTTTCGGGCTGTGGAGTTGCCGTGGTGCACTCTCCAGGGGGACGTGCGTGTCCGGGACGGCGCCCCGCGGGGATAGGGTCTCTGCAGGCCAGCACACGCCCAGCGCCGGTCCGCGCCGTCCCCTGCATGTTCCGCCGCCACCACTTGGCCCAGCGACAGCTGTCCCCGCCGGGACCTGTGCCTCTCCATGTTGGGTTTCGGCCCCTTGGCCTTGGAGCCTGTGGCCTTGCTGGGATGGGGAGGTGGTGAGCTCCCGCGCCAGCCGCCGCGCTCTGGTTAACAGCCTCGGTTCCGGGACTCGCTCCGTGGCCGTGCAGGGTCACATTTCAGAAACGTCTAGAACAAAGGGGGAGGGGACTTGCATGAGGTCACCCAGGGAAGGGTGGCAGCTTGGCCTCGGGTCCCTTCTGCAATGCTCAGAGTAACCAAGGTGTCCTCCCTTTTTCTAATTGTAATTTTGAATTATTTTTCCTTTTTTTTTTTTTAATTTGGGAAACTGTCAGGCTTCCAGAAGAACTGCAGGCGCAGCGCCCTCGCCGGGGCCTGGGGTGTACTCACAGCCCACCCCCCCCCACCCCCCTTTGGTCAGACTTTCAAAAGTCGCAGAGATAGTGAGTCACAGCTCGGAATATTTTGACGGTTCCTCCCGACAACAAGGACGTGTTCGCACCGACGACGTCCGGCGTCACACCGCAGGACTGTCACCTGGCACAGGATGATGCCGTCACCGGGCCCCAAGGCGAGGAGGCCACGTCCCGGGCCCTCGGATGCCCTTCTGGTCACTTAACCCCCTCCTCCTCCAAGGCCCCTGCGTGTCATCCGCCCTGGCGCCGGCAGGCCCTTGGGGGCGCCGTCCGACCACTTTATTTTCCCCACTGACCCGGCCTCAGAGGCGCCCGGAGCGGCCGGCGTCCTCTAGGTCAGAGCCGGCGCCGTCTCGCCAGGCCGTCCTGTGGAGCTGCGGTTTGCGCGCAGATGGGACGACCCGGTGTCCACCCTGCCCATCTGACCTGCTCCCTGCGCGGCGGGGCCCCTGTCTCTCCCCTGGCCGAGCGTCGCCCGCAGTCGACAGGCCCCTCTTCCCTTCCCGCCCCCCAGCCGCGGCCTCGGTGGCTTCCGGCTCCCGGCCTGTCGCTCTGGAGCTGCTGGGGCCCTGTCCTCCAGGCAGGCGCCGGACTGGGCTTGCCGGGTACCGGGCCCTTCGTGCTCAGTTTTCCGAGGTAGGTCCAGGCGCCTTCCGTGGGGCGGCAGCAGCCCCGCTCCACCCCCTCTGCCCCGGCCGGCCCTGGTTGTCGGGGTCTTGTTGGCTGTGCCTGTCATGGAGGCAGCCTGTGTGGCGGCACCTCTCTCCCCCGTGGAGCTGATGAGCCGCCGGCCTGCCTCTCCAGCCTGCGCCCACCGCCCTCCAGCTCCCTGCATGTCGCTGAACCGGGGATCTGTGTCGTGCCCACCCGTGGCAGGGCACTTGGGGCCCAGGGACCGACCCGTCGGTTGTGTGACCTTCCAGCCTGCTGATACTGCCTCCCGCGGGTCGTCACCTTCACCCCTGGGCCAGGCTGGGCCGGCAGCTGTCCTGGCCGCTTCTGGAAAGGAGGCTCTCTGGGGGCCGCTTGCCCGAGCCTGCAGCAGGCACCCGCTGTGCTGGGACCCTGTCCTGCGGTCCCGCGGGCTCCGGGAGGCCTGGAGCGCCCCGTGCGGCCCCCTCCCTACAGCCGGGCGCCGGAGCCAGAGGGAGCGTTTGGAGGCAGCAGGCAGGTGGATCAGAGCCAGGGGGGACATGGCTCCTGGCCCGGCCCTCGCTCCCTCCTGCTGCGGAGGCAGAATGGCCCAGGGGTGCCTCGGACAGCCCCCCTCTTCCACAGCCGGGCCGCCGCAGCCGGTTCACGGAGCTCTGGGGAGGGCCCGAGCCCACCCGCCCTCGGGCAGGAAGGCGCTGGCGGGACCCCTGGGGGAGCCGCTCGCTCCGCGGCCCCGGGGCGGGGGTCCTTCTGGGTTTTCCTCCGCGGACTTCTGCCGCCGGGGCCGGGTTTTACTTGCCCGGCATCTCCGCGAGTCTCCCAGAGGGCACGTCCTGCGCCCCAGCAGCGGCGTCGGGTCTCCCCTGCTTTCCAGCGGACCCGGGCGCCGCGCGCAGCTCCGCGGCACGTCGCCTTTCGGGCCCCCCGCGCCTGCGGAGCCCCCCGGCCTCCGCCAGGGTCGCGCCGCGCGGCGGGGGCCGCCAGGGGGCGCCAGCGGCGCGGGTCGGGCGCGGACCGCGTCCCCGTCCGCGCTCGCCCTCCCGGGGCCGCGGGCCCTCGGGGCCCCACTCCGCGCCCGGCGGTGGAAGGCGGGCCGCGGCCGTGCGGTCCATCCCCGGGCGCGTCTCCGCCGAACCGGGCCCAGGACCCGGCCCCGGGGCGGGGGGGACAGAGTCCCGCTCACCTTCTCCGGCTCCGCCGAGGCCGCTGCGCCCGCGCCCGCCGGCTCCCTCCGGGGGTGCGCCCGGGTCTGCGCGCGGCCGCCGGCTCGGGGCGCGGGGCAGGGTCCCCGGGCGGCCGTGCGCGAGGGCTGGTGCCCGGCGTTACTTCGTGCGGGAGAAAAACCAGAGCGCCCCGAGAGCCCGGGGACGCGGGGGCGCGCACGCCGGGAGCACGCGCTGCTTTCGCGCGCGTCGGGGGCGACGCCGGCACCCCGGATCCGCGCCCCGCGCCCCGCGCCTGCTGGGGGGAGCCGGGGCAAAGGAGGCCGACGTGGGGGCGTCGTGTCCGCGCCCCGTCCCCGCGCGCCCGGCCCGCAGGCCCCGCGGCAGCACCGCGTCCTGGGGGCGGCGCGGCCGTGGGCGCAGCCGCGGAGGGACGTGGGGCCCGGGGGAGGCGCGGGGGCGCGCCCCGGAGCCGAGCACGACTTCTGGGGTGTCCGCAAAAGTTTGCCTCGCAGACCCGTGCTCCGTGGAGCCCCGGGGCCCGACTCGCTGCACCCCAAGCCCGGCGACCCGAAAGCCCGGGAGGCCCGAAGCCCCGCAGAGACCCCCCGGGGCTGTGGCGGGAGCGCGAGGCCGGGCGCCCGGGGCGCGGGAACTCGGGCAGCTGCGGGAGCCCCGGCCCCGCCCGCCAGGATGGCCGCGTGGGCCCCACCTTGCGGGCGCGCGAGTCGGGGGGTTCGCCTCGGGGACGGCGGGGCGCGGACCCCTCGCGCTCCCGGCCACCCCGCAAGGCCGCGCGCGGCGCGCCCGGAGAAGCGGACCCCAGACGCCCGCGCGCCGCCGCCGGGGCCGGCCGTGCTCGCCGCGTCGCTGTCGCGGGGGGCCTGCGGGGACGCGGCCCACGGCGCGCGTGCCCGGAGCCCCCCTGCGGGACGCGCCCTCGCGGGGCCGCGCGGGTCCTAGCGCCGGGCCGGGCGCCGCGATTGGCCGGCGGGCGGGGCGGGGCCGCGGCTAAAAGCCGGCCTCGGCGCGCGGCCCTCGGAGCTGCTCCCGGCGCCCGCCGAGCGGGACGCGCCTCCTCCCCGGGCTCGCTGGGCGGCCGCCGCGCGCCCCGGCTCGCTGGCCCGCGGGGCCGCCGACTCGCCGGCCCGGGAGAGCGCCCCGCCGCGCGCGGGCCGGGCTCCGCGGGTCCCCACAGCGGCCGGGCCGCGCGCGCCCCGGCGCCCCGGGATGCTGGCCCGCCCGGCCCGCTGAGCGCCGGCGCCGCCGCGCCCGGACAGCATGCAGGCGCGCTACTCCGTGCCCGACCCCGGCGCGCTGGGCGTCGTGCCCTACCTGGGCGAGCAGGGCTACTACCGCGCGCCGGGCGCCTACGGCGGCGCGCCCGGGCCCGTGGGCGTGTACGCGGGCGCCGCCGAGCACTACGGCGCGGGCCGCCCCTACGCGCCCTACCCCGCGCCCCCGCCCGCCGCGCCCAAGGACCTGGTGAAGCCGCCCTACAGCTACATCGCGCTCATCACCATGGCGATCCAGCACGCGCCCGAGAAGCGGGTGACGCTCAGCGGCATCTACCAGTTCATCATGGAGCGCTTCCCCTTCTACCGCGAGAACCGCCAGGGCTGGCAGAACAGCATCCGGCACAACCTCTCGCTCAACGAGTGCTTCGTCAAGGTGCCGCGCGACGACAAGAAGCCGGGCAAGGGCAGCTACTGGACGCTGGACCCGGACTCCTACAACATGTTCGAGAACGGCAGCTTCCTGCGCCGGCGCCGGCGCTTCAAGAAGAAGGACGTGCCCAGGGGCAAGGAGGAGCGCGCGCCCCTCCGGGAGCCGCCCCCCGCCGCGGCCAAGGGCGCCCCGGCCGGGCCCCGCCTCGCGGACGCCCCCCGGGAGGCCGAGAAGAAGGTGGTGGTCAAGAGCGAGGCGCCGTCGCCCGCGCTGCCGGCGGTCGCCAAGGTGGAGGCGCTGAGCCCCGAGGGCGCGCGGCGCGCCAGCCCGCCCAGCGCCGCGTCCACGCCCGCGGGCTCCCCCGACGGCGCGCGGCCCGAGCCGCCCGCGGGCGCGCCCGGCTTCAGCGTGGAGACCCTCATGGCGCTGCGCGCGTCCCCGGCCGGCGGCGAGCTGGGCCCCGCGGCCGGGCGCGCGGGGCTGGCGGTGCCGCCGCTGGCGCTGCCCTACGCCGCCGCGCCGCCCGCCGCCTACGGCCCGCCGTGCGCGCAGGGCCTGGAGCCCGGGGCCGCGGGCGGCTACCAGTGCAGCGTGCGCGCCCTGAGCCTCTACACCGGCGCCGAGCGGCCCGCGCGCGTGTGCGGCCCGCCCGCGCTGGACGAGGCCCTCTCGGACCACCCGGGCGGCCCCGCCTCGCCCCTGGGCGCCCTCGGCCTCGCCGCGGGCCAGGAGGGCGCGCTCGCCGCCGCCGCCGCGGGCCACCACCACCAGCCCCTCGGCGGCCACCACCCGCCCGCGCCCGCGCCCGCCCCGCCGCCCGCGCCGGCGCCGCCGCCCGCGGCCCCCGCGGCCTCCTGGTACCTCGGCCACGGCGGGGACCTGAGCCACCTCCCCGGCCACACGTTCGCGGCCCCGCAGCAGACTTTCCCCGGCGTCCGCGACGTGTTCGGCTCCCACCGGCTGGGCGCGGACGGCGCGGGCCTCGGGGAGCCCCAGGCGAGCGGGGGCGCGAGCTGTCAGCTGCCCTACCGGGGCGCGCCCGCCCTCTACCGCCCCGCCGCCCCCTACTCCTACGACTGCACCAAGTACTGACCCCGCGGGCCGCGCCGGGGCCGGAGGACCGAGAGCCCAACGGGCCCGGGGGCCGCAGGTCGCCCCGACGCGCCGCCCCGGGCCGGGCGACCCAAGCGCACGGCCGCGGGTTCCACAGCCCCTCCCGCGACGCCGCTTCCCCACCGCTGGGAGGTTCGGGGTTCAGTAATGGACCGAACCCGCCGCCCGCCCGCGGAGACTCTGCGCCCGCCCCGGGGCCCAGGGGCCTGAGCGCTCCCCGCGCCTGTGCCAACGCACCGGGTGCCGAGCCGGCCGCGCCCTCGCTGTTCAGAGCCGTTAATATAATATTTAAAGTTGAGGTCACTGGATCGCGTCTCTTCTCGCCCGAGCTCTGGCTGCCCAGCCGAGCGCGCGGACACCTCTGTGCGCCCCGGACAGACGCGCGCCCGGCGGGGCCTTCCAAGCCAAGAGAGTAATTTATTTTTTGTTGCCGAAGGAGGGTGAAGAAGTCAAGTGTCTGATGCTTCTTATTTACCAAGCGGGATGGTTTTGTATAGACCCCGCCCAGGGCATTCCCAGCAGGAGAAAAAAAACCCAGCCGTGCGCACCCCCCTCGCCGCGTCCTCCCGGGCCCTCGTGGTTGTGCCTTCCGTAGAATAAACCCGTGCTGTTTTCCTGCCCCGGGTCCAACGGCGTCTTTGCTTTCTTGCGTTTTTGAAAAAACGAGGCGTGTTTACAGGCCCACCTGTTTTGATTATTTTTGCTGCCAGGGGGGTGAGCGCGCAGAGGCCCACATGCCCGCGGCTGACCGCCCGCGAGGCGCCCTTGCCCTGGGAGTGACAGAAAAGGCCTGCAGTTCATTCGCGCGCCCACCCCGCCGCTGCGCCCGGCCCGGCCTGGAGGCCCCTGCAGCCTCACGGGCGGCGGCGCGCATTTTGCTCAATGCGGAAAACACACGGCAGTTGTCAAAGTGAACAGCGCGTCCACCTCCATGTCCAGCAGCCCCGGTCCCGGCCTCGGGTGAAGGGGAGAGAGCAAACCGGGCAGCTCTGCCGTCCCTCCCTTTCCTACCACGCGGGCTTCTTTGCCCGCTGGATGGTTTTCCAGAACCACACTGGACCGGGGCCGGCGAAGGTCCAGCAGGGATGGGCGGTTTGGTCCCGTCTCACGCCCGTCCCTGGCGGGGACCGGTCAGCGGTGGACTTCGGGGCTCTTCACATCTTGATTTGGTTTCCAATTTTTTCCCCTACTGCAGTGAAAATAGGTTAAGGCCCGACTGGCCGTCAAAAATACCTTGCGGCCTCCAAGACCTAGGCGGGGGTGTATTTGTTCGGGGGGGGGGTATTTTTCTTCTTAATTTGGTTGACTCTTCTTTCAAATGTTTCACGGTGACGCTGGCCGACCCGCGTGAGATGTAGGGGGAGGCGTTGGCTTTACTGCCCGTTCCCTCCCTCCGGCTGAAACCGCAACTCCCCTGCTGGTCTCTGCGGCCAATTTGGGGGCCGGAGCTCCCAGTTGGGAGTGAGATTCCCACGGTGGCAGGTGAAGATCCCTGCGAACCTCCCGTTTCAGGCGCTGATCACGTCCCCAAAGGCGATTTTGCCGGCTGGTGGTGTGGCCTCCCGCCATGTGCTGTTTCTGGCCGCGCCTTTCCTTGGCAGCGCCGAAGCAGCAAAGGGTGAGGCTTGGGCATAAGCGCGTCTCCCATAGGTGCGGCACGGCAGTGCCCGGGGTTGAGACAGCGCGTCCCTCCTTTCCCAAGCCGGCGGGCCGGGGCTTGGTGTTCAGGGCTTGGTGTTCGGCAGGCCCCGGGCGCCACCAGGCTCCGGTCGGTGCAGCCAGGCCAGCCGCGGGAGCCGGGCCTTCTCGGAGCTGCAGAACCAGGTGCCCGGCACTGGCCCGGGGCCCCTCTGCTCCTGCTGCCCGCTGTTTCCACAGGCGAAGAGGGGTAGTCCCTGGCTTTCGCCTTCCCGGTTGCTGCCCCGTCCTCCCGGAAAGCTCGGCAGGGAGCCTCGGAGACCCAAACTAGAGAGAGCCTCAGCGGGGTGAGACCGTCACTCCTGAGAAGGCCCCACCCCGTGGAGGCCATGCAGGGGAGCGCTGGCCTTGGGGCTGAGAGAGGGGCGTCAGGCCGGGTGCTTTGGGACTCTTCCACCACCGGCTTCCCTGCTGCAAGGGGTCCTGGGGCGCCGCGGTAGAAACCGGTAAGCACCGGACCTGCAGCAACCCCAGAGGCTCCCGGGGTCTGGTCCTCCAGAGGGGGTGGCGGGGGCTCTTAGGCGACCTCCTGGCTGGTTCGGACAAGGCTTGGCCACCATCCTGGGCTGCTCAGGCAAAGACTGGCCAGTGGGAGTCGAGGCTGCCCTTCCCTTCCCGGCTCAGAGGCCCTTCGGGGAGAGGGAAGGAGCCGGGATGGAGGGGCTGGAACACCCCGTCCGGGCTGCCTGGCCAGTCTGGCGCTCTCTGCCCGACTGCAGTGTGCGTGAGGCCCTGTCGGGGCCTGCTCCTCCGACCCAAGAAGATGCTCTCGGCAGTTCCCCAAACCACTGCAAATAAAGTGAAAGCAACCCCAACAGCAGGCAGAGACTTCCCGGGCCAGCGGGCGGCGGGTGCCAGAGGACCTAGCTGGGGGGGCTGCATCCCGAAAGGGGTCCGGTTTTGACAGATCTGACCTCTGGAGAGACCCCTTGACCAGCAAGTGTCCCGCAGCTTCGGGGCCCGGGCGAGGCCGTGGTGGCGGTGGCCCTGCCTCTGGTCAGCCCCGGGGGCTCAGAGCAGGCCTCTCACCCGGCCTGGCTGCTCTGCCTGGTGGTCCGTCCCCAGAGGCTCAAAGCGGGCAAACCTGCTGCCCCCGCGTGCAGAGCGCTGTGCTCGGGCCGGAAGAGCCCTGCCCTGCGTGGACAGCAGGCTTTTCACCTGGGAAGTGGCTAGGCGGGGGCCAGGCCCCCCAGCAGCCCACGCCTGCCCTCGGCTGCTCTCCTGCCGCCAACGCTGGGGTCCGGTCTTGGAGAAGCCCCGGGTCCTGGGAGCTGCGGACCTGGCTCACCAATCCTTGGGGGTCCGTCTCCCCCCTGTCACCCAGAGACTGCCTGGGGGTTGCCTCCGGGCCCAGGAGAGGCTTGTAAGCTGTGCTCAGAACACAGCTGCGTTTCCAGGTCCCCTGAAAAGCATCCTGGTGGAGGGCGCTCCCTCCTCTCACCTTCCCCCCACCCCAAATGCAAACCGAGGTCGGTGGGTGGGTCAGGGCGCCCCAGGGACTTCAGTCATAACCGCAGCCCAAGGGCTGGGGAGAGGGCGGAGAGAAGGTGTCCCTCTCCAGCCGGGGCAGCGCCTCGGGCGGGTGCCTGCGTGGTCCTGGGTGTGCCCCTGGGTGACGGGGGTGCCTTGGGCGCAGGCCGCCTGCGTGGCCGGCCCCTAGGTGAGCGGGACGCAGGGTCAAGCTGCCCTTGGCGCCACATACTTGAAATGCTTTCCCAAACTTTGAGAGAATTCGCGCATTCTCCCGGCCTAACTCCCGAGGCCTGGGCTGGCCAAGGCATTTGAGATGTTTGCTTTCTGACATCGGCATGTGAGGAGGGGTGGAAAGTTTCTTGGGAGTTTGGGGAAGGCTGGGGACAGCCACTGCCTGAGAGGACCTGGCGCAGCCCTCGCCTGGCTGAGATGGCGGGCGGGACGTCGTGCGGGAGGTCAGGCTGCGTGGAGTGGAGTGCGTGCGCCTCTGGCTCTGGCCTTCGGGGCGCTGGAGCGGGGACTTCCTGGTGCTTCAGCCCCGGGAACTGGAGAGGGTTGGCATCCCAGAGCCTCGAAGGGAGTGGGGCTGGGGAGCCCTGGGGGGCCTCCCCCCTCCCAGGGCCTGGGGTACAACTTGGTGCTGCCTCTGCCCACTCAGGCTGGGGGCCCCGTAGACCCCAGGCCCACTGGCCCTGGGTGCTGGCCAGTACCTTTCAGTCTGGGGCGCTCTGCCTTCCTGTGGTTTTCATCAGGGACTCCCCAGTGGGGAGCTGGCTCTCTAAGCTGAATCCTCAGGCTCTGACTCAGCTTTTACAGACAGGCCCACGGGGTTCCCTTGCCTCGGGCAGGCCACCATAAACCCTGGTCCGTTTGTCAACTGAAGAGCAACAGGATCCTTGAATAGGGTCATCTTGGGGGTCAAGGAACCAGCGGTACCAAGACAACCCTGGTCCCTGAAGGACTCGGTGGCTGTTAGGACCCGAGAGCTGGGTAACAGGAGAAGGGGTTCTCGGGTCTCCCTTACCAGCAGAGATCAGGGGACCCTGGTGTGGGGGGAGGCCCGCACCGCATCTGCCCTGCGCGGCATTTCTGAGCACAGGGGATCTAGGAAGCACTCAGCAATTTGGAACATGCCCCCCCCCCCCACTGCTCCCCAGGCTGCAGCGGGTGCCAGTGACCTCACCTTTCTGGTTCCTCCCCACCCCCAGATTCCCTGCTGAAGGACCCCACCCAGGAGAGGAGGGTGAGAGAAGGGGGTCTTCTGTGTTACAGCCCGGGGTGTGAGATCTGGGGTTGCCTGCACCCTCCCCTCTCCTGGTGCCGCCCCAGACGTGCCAGAGCCGGCTGCTGCCTGGGCCAGCTGGGGAGGAGCCCGTCTTTCTGCGCTGCCTGCTGGGCTGCTCGGTGCCCAGCCCTGGCTTCGCCATCTGTAAACCGGGCGGGTCTGCCCCCTGGCCGTGACAGGGCGGTGAGGAGGGCATATCGGGGCTCGGAAGCTGGGGTGGGGGGAGCGAGTCCCCTGCGCTCCCCGTAGCCTCCCGGGCCCTCCCGTCAGCGTCTGCTCAGGCCCCTGCTTGGCAGCACCTGCGCGGGGAGCAAGAGGTGGCAGGCGGCAGGGCGGCGGGACAGATTTGCTTCTGGACAGTGGCCGTCGGGCTCCCGCGAGGGAGCCTTTGCCCTGGGAGGGCCCACGGGACGGCCCCCACGCAGCAGCGCCGGCCTCTGTGGCCCGGGCTGTCCTCACTCGCGTCCCGGGCAGGTGGTTGCCACGAAGGCAGCCGCTGGGCCCCAGCGCGCAGGAGCCGGTGGCCGCACAGCCACAGCGCGTCTGCCCACGGCCCTCACCGGAGCCGGCCCAGCCCCCGAGGGCGGCTCCCCGCCAACCCCAGCCCTGCTCTCCCCTCCCGGCACGCAAGGGGCTGCGCCCCAGCGGGGAGGCGGGGGAGCAGCGCGTGTCCCCGGCCTTTCTTCCCGGGGCCCCGGGTAGGAGGTTCGTGCCCGGCGGTGCTGCCCGCACAGCTCCCCGCGGGGCTCAGGGGCCGGCGCTGGTCCTCACCCGCGGCGAGTCTGGAGCCGGCTGCCGCTGGGCGTCTCCCCCGCCCCTCCCCGGCGCACCCCGCGGGGTCTGGGGCGCTCCCGCGGCCGGGAGGGAGGCGCGCGGGCTCCGCAGAAGGCGCTGGAGACTTGAGCCCGCGGGGCCCTCTCAGAGCCCCCGCCCGCCCCTCCCCGGCCCCGGCCCCGGCCCCGGCCCCGGCCCGTCCTCGGCGGACGGAGCCTCCGCACGAGGGCGCATGGGGCGCGGAAGCGCGGGGAGCTCCCTGCGCTCCCCGGAAATCTGCCCGGCGCGGGGCTCCCCCTGCGCGCGCCTCCCGGGCCCGAGTCCTGCGCTCCCCGCCGGGCCCCGGGGCCGGGCCGGCGCGCCGCAGCGGGGCAGGGCACCGTGCCCGAGTTCCGCCGCGGGCACCCCCGGCCCTCGCGGGGACGCGCGCCCAGACCGCGGCCGAGCCGCGCCGCGCCGGGCCTCTCCCCGCGGCGCGGGCCCCGCCCAGGGCCTCGCGCCCCCGCCCACATCCGGCCCGGGCCCACTTCGGGCGCTGCTGGTCGCTGTCCGGGCCGGGCCGGGCTGTGCCCAGCGCTTATAAGCCGCGCGCGCCGCCGCCCGCCGGAGCCGGGTGCTCGCCGGGCTGCGCGCCGGGCGCTGCGGGCGGCTTGGGGCGGGGGCGCGCTCGCGCGGGTGCCGGCGCCGCCGTCTCTCGCTCCGGGGCTGTCGGAACCGGCCCAGGCTGGGGGCACAGCTGGACCCCAACTTGAGCCTGTGGGTCCGCAGAGCTTGGATGACCCCCGGGTCTGCAGGACACACGGGCCAAGGGCGTGGCGCTGGGGATCTTCTCCATCCTAGGGTCAAAAAGGGCTCCAGTGAGAGCCGGGATCCGGGAGAGGACAGCCCCGGCCTGCTCCAGCCCCAGGGCACCCCCGAGCCCCAGGCTGGGGCCAGGGCGCTGGACCGTTTGCCTAAGCGAGGCTGGCGGCGGCCCCGCGCCCCTGCGCTCTCACCTCGCCGGTGCCCAAACCGGTTTTCCGACCCAGAGGGAGACTCCTCAGGTATTTCTAACTCACCAGACCCCTGCAGTGCACCGGGCGCCTCGGGCACTCCCCCAGCACAGCAGTGACTTCCCCATTTTGGAGCGGGGTTCTCCCGGCTTTTCCCTTTGGGGCGGGTGCCCAGCCCTTGCCAGCAGTCCTTGGGAGGTGCTGTCCTGTGACCCTGTCGCGGCCAGCCCCCCCCCAGTGTGGGCAGCGCCTCTCCCTCCACCCTGGGGCTGTCCTAGCCTTTCTGCACCACCTGCTGTCCTCGCCGTCCCTCTTCCCACGGCGTCCCTGCAGCACTCACTCAACGAAGCACTAACGCAGTTATCCCCAGCGTTTTCCATCCTTTTGAGAAATGCTCAGCAGAGGTTGTAAACAGGACCGAGTCACGCTATCGCCCCCCTTCCCGAGCTGCGGGCCGGGGAGAGACCCTCCTCTGAACTGGCATCATGCGGTTCAAACCTCGACGTGGCTCGAAGCAGCATGAGCCGCGGGTGGGGGGTTGCTTACAGCCCAGCGGGTGGGGGAACAAGCAGGCTTCCCAAATGCTTAATGTAATCACGGGCCAGCTGCGTGCACTTGTAAAGTTGTTATAACCCCTCCTGGTTATAAACAGGAAAGCGCAGAATATAAAGCAAGAGACCCGCATCCACAAATACCAGCTCTCGGGGCCGCTGCCAAGCTCCCCTTTTATGGCGTCCCTGCTCGCAGCCTCAGCCCCGCGCGGGGACCCTGCTTCTCCCCTTGAGCTCTCCCGAAGGGTTGATTTCGGAAGTTCCCTCCACTCAGCTGTGGACCGGGACCCCACACTCTCTCGGCTCCCCTGAGCCTGTGTGTGCGCTCGGAGTTCCCGTCCAGCCGAGCCCCCCAGGGGGAGGCTTGCCCTGAGGGATACCGCGCCCTTAGAGAGCACCAGCTCCTGCGGGCCCGGGAGGACCGTCCCAGAGGCTGCGTCCTCCCCTTACCAGGCGCTCAACCCCCTTGGCTAGTCCCCCCTCCCCCCCAAAAACTCGCAAAGACCTCCAGGCGGTTTACCCATGCCATCGTCACTTCTCATTTCAAGCCTCGGCCAAGGAAAGACATTTTGCGGGGCGGCCCCAGGATTACGGGGATCCCCCAGGTCAGCGGCACCCCCACGCCACCGCGCCTTCCTGGCCCCGCAGGCCGGCGCAGAGCCACCCCGCCGACATCCTGCCGGCTGACTGGGTGTGCTCACAGCGTCAAGGGGTGGACGTGATATTTCAAACATCAGATCAGTGCGTTTATATATTGGGTGCCCGGAAATTTTTCCAAATAAACACAGCTTGATTCAACTTGGGTGGGCGGACTTATCAACAGACTAATTCTATAAACAAATGAAGAACTAGCCCCGAAAGGGATTGGCTGGTGTCGAGAAGACACGTGGAGGGAAAAGCTTGGAGTTTTTCGGCAATGAAATTTTAATTAATGTGGGTGGGCTGAGAACACAACGACTGTTTATCATAGACAATTTATTTTCCAGCGCTAAGTCAACATATAATAGCAAACTTACAACAATTATTTAACATTTTTAAAGCCACGAGGAAGGGACAGAGCGCGGAGCTGCAGGGGAGAGCAGCAGGGCAGGCGGAGGCGCGGCGGGCTCCCCAGGCGGCCCCTGCGGCGCGGGGCGCAGTCCCCAAGGCGCCCGTGGCCAGGTCGCGCGAACCCCGAGCGCCCCTCGCCATGAGCCACCTCTTCAGCCCCCGGCTGCCGGCGCTGGCCGCCTCGCCCATGCTCTACCTGTACGGGCCCGAGCGCCCCGGGCTGCCCCTGGCCTTCGCGCCCGCGGCGCTGGCCGCGGCGGGCCGGGCGGAGCCGCCCCAGAAGCCGCCCTACAGCTACATCGCGCTCATCGCCATGGCGATCCAGGACGCGCCGGAGCAGAGGGTGACGCTCAACGGCATCTACCAGTTCATCATGGAGCGCTTCCCCTTCTACCACGACAACCGCCAGGGCTGGCAGAACAGCATCCGGCACAACCTCTCGCTCAACGACTGCTTCGTCAAGGTGCCGCGCGAGAAGGGGCGGCCCGGCAAGGGCAGCTACTGGACGCTGGACCCGCGCTGCCTGGATATGTTCGAGAACGGCAACTACCGGCGCCGCAAGAGGAAGCCCAGGCCGGGCCCCGGGCCCCCCGAGGCCAAGCGGGTGCGCGCGGAGCTGCAGGAGCCGGAGGCGGGGAGCCGGGGCGGGCCCCCCGGCTCCCCCACCCCCACCTGCCAGGAGGGAGCCCCCGCGCACCCCTCGCCGCTCCAGGCAGGCTCCTCTCCCCCGGCACCCCTCCCCTGGCCGCGGCCCGGGGCCCTGGAGGAAGCCTCCCCGAGCACAGCGGCCGCAGCCTCGGGCCAGCCGGCGCGCACAGTGAATGGCCCCGGGCCCCCGCCGCGCCCCGTCTCCCGCTGCTCCCCGAAGAGTTCGGACAAGGCCAAGAGCTTCAGCATAGACAGCATCCTGGCGGGGGCGCAGGGCCGCAAGGCAGCTGCGGGGGGCGACCTCCTGGGGGCCAGCTGCCGGGGCACCTCGCTTCTGGCCGGCACCTCCAGCCTCCTTCCACCCTTCCACGCCTCGCTGATGCTTGACCCCCACGTGCCGGGCGGCTTCTACCAGCTGGGGCTCCCTCTCCTGTCCTACTTCCCGCTGCAGCTCCCCGAGGCCGTGCTGCGCTTCCAGTAAGCCCGGGGCCCCGCCGCCTCCTGCAGGGTCCCCGCTTCTTCAGAGGGACCTGGGCTCCCGGGCGGGGGCCGCGCAGTTTTTCCAAAGACGCTGTTTTCCTCTGCGCCCCGGCATCCTGGAAAGTGTCACCAGCTTCTGCGAGGAGGTCGGAGGCCCCAGTGAACTTCCCCACCCGGAGGGAGCTTCGGGAGTTAAAGACCCTGCCTGCCGGCACCCCAGACCTCCCGCCGGGCCAGCAGCCGAGTTCCTTGACCCTGGGTCAGCCCAGCTGCCTGATCTTCCGCTACCCACCCGGGGCCTGCGTGCCCACCCAGGCGGCCCGGCCGGGCTGGAACACACGCAGCGGGCCGGGAGCTGCCGGAGCTGTCCTGGGCCCCAGGCCTTGGCCCTGAGCCGTGGGGTGAGGGGCGTCCACGCTGTTTGCCCCGAAGTCCAGCCGTGGCCACACGAGGGGGACCCTCTTGCAGGTTCTCTGGGACACGTAGGGGCTGGTGCGGACTCACAGCCAACGTCCGGGTGAAACCTGAAAACCACGCTTGTGCTTTAGAGGGAAGAGAAGTCTCTCGTTCTCTGTACGGCCTCCGCAGTGGGCTGTGTCTGGCTGGCGTGGGGCGCCCGTTTTCCGGCCGCGGGCGTCTGTGCGGCGACGTGTGCTCACAAGGCCCTGGCAGCCCCCTGGCAGCGCCGAGTGCTCCCTGGCACACTCGCGCCCGGTGGCCGCTATCGCCTCCGGCTGTTGTTTTAAGGAATCAGTTTTCAGGGGACACCGGAAGCGAGCGTGCTGGGGGGTGTCTCAGACGGCCGAGAGGGCCGAGTGCCTTGTTGTCCCAGAGCCAGGTGTGACTGTTGCTCCGTTTCCGGAACTGCGCAGTGGAGGGTTCCTGGTAGCCGAGGAGGCTGGGCGAAGCGAGCGGACCGCGGGAGACAGAGACTGCTGCAGAGCCAGGGTCTGTGGGCGCGTGCTGGACCCCCCTCCCCGGGCCCCAAGAACACCGGGCCCTGTGGCGCGGCTTCCTGACAAACCCGGCTCCCAAAGCCCTGCCGGGAAGCCCCAGGAGGGCGCTGGGTCGCCACACACATCTGTGAGGACACTCCAGGTCTCCACGGCCCAGCGCGCTTGGAACTTCGGGGACGCGCCTCTAACATCTTAGGGTATCTCTGTCTGGGTGGTCTTGGGGGTGCTGCAATCTGATAACCTCAAGGGCACTCTGACTTTGTCTGTGGGAAGACTGCGTACTCGGCCATGGCTTCCCGAGCAGGGCTTCCGGGTGACTTTTGAAACAGTTTCAGGACATGCAGACGGATGAGCACACACTTGGACGTGAGACCTGGGGCTGCTGTGCCGGGAAGGCCTGTTGGGCGCTCACACTCATTTACTAGTGGCAGAGCTGACTTCCTGGCCCCTCCTCAGAGCCGGGAGCTGCGGCCCTGCCGCCATGTTCCTCGCGGAGGGACGCAGTGACGTAGGTCTGCGCCCTGGCCGGAGCGCGTGGGCCCAGCGCCTCCTGGCTTCAGGGACCTGATGGGACCCCACCGAGACGCAGGCTGAGGGCGATGGCTGTCACCGGCTGTGCAGCCACCAGTTGCTCAGCCTCTGTGAATAAAGTTGGTTTGGCACCACCTCGGGGCTGGCTCGATGCACGGCTGGGGTGGCAGCGGGCGCCACGGGGAGCAGAAACTGGGCGTGCACGTCAGCCCCTGACATCTCGGGGCTTTGGCTTGTGAGGGAGGGTCAGCACAGAGGGCAGTGCAGGGGCAGAGGCCCTCCGGACAGTCCTGGGTGCTGCCTGACGGCCAGAAGGGGAAAGGAAAATTCTGCCAAATAGGATGTTTTCACTTTCCTCTGAGACGGCCTGAGGAGCGAATCTGTGCTCTCATCTGTCTCCTAGGAATGCTCTTTGGGCTGCTGTCAGCTCACACACACACACATGCACACGCACATGTGCACATGTAGACACACACACACACTCACGTGAACTGGCGTCTGGTCCGCGGGGCATGTGGAGGTGCAAGGCTGCTGGTCTGTGTGTGCAGCGTGCATGTGTGAGCGTGGACACGCATCTGCACGTGGGTATGTGTGTGTCTGTACACACGGCTTCACAGACAGTCATGTTTCTTTGCATATTGAGGAGACAGACTCAACTGCAGTGCTGAACCCTGTCAGACCACCCCGGTGTTCACACTTTGCCACGCTTGTGTCTCTGGGTGCTCTGAGCCAGGCACAGTTTTGGGTTTTATGTTGCATTACTGCAGGGACCCCCCTGGGCTGTGCAGGGACCCCCCTGGGCTGTGGAAGGAGCAGCTCCCGCCACCCCCTCCCCAACCCCACGAGGTCAGAGCGCTCTGCAGAGGCTCCCACGGGCGCTGATGGCCTCCCAGGTCTCAAATGTCCGCAGGGTCTGAGGAGGATGTGTTTCCGTTCGTCACGTGTTGCTGACCATCAGGAAGCCACGTGTGGTCCCTGTGGCCTCACATGGTGTGGTCAGTGTATCCACGTGTGGGCTGAAGAACCGGCCGCACATGGTGTTATTGTTACAGCTGAAAGGGAGCCTCGTGCCGGACGTGGTGACGTCAGCCTGGGAGCCACGGCCTCTCTCACGGCGGGTCATCTTGCTTCCACAGAGGAGAGGTTGTTCGAGAGTCACAGGTACACATGGCCGTGCACAGAGCTCATTTGCAGAAAGAAAGAACACGCGTTTGTTGGAAATGTAAAATTCTATTCATCCAAGTTCCAAGCAGTTTTACAAATATGCCAGATACCAGGCGTCCGTCCCTACGGGCTGTCCTACCCGAGTCCCCAACCGGGGTCTGCAGGGCCAGGCACGCACCATCAGTGTGTAGAGTGACCTGGAGTGGGGCAATAGGGAGTGGTGGGGTGTGGGCTGAACTGGCGGAGGTGGGGGGGGTGCTTTCCAATGGCTTCCAAATGCCAGTCACACTAGCAAACCAAACATGTGGCGCGTAGGCCAGAGCGGGCTTCAGGCCCAGGCGTATGCCGTGGCGGCCAGTGAAACCAAGGGCATGATTCAGTGAGCCCCCTGCTTGGTGGCTGGGGGTGAGGATCTGTTTTGGGGTGCAGCTCGGGTGTCTTTATCTTGGCAGTAAGGAGGGAGGGCAGTGGGGGGAGCAATGGGGCAAAGATTTAGTCCCAACCCCCTTTTCTCACGCCAGAATCGGGGTCCTAGTGGGAAACAGGCCATTAGCTGGACCTCCAGACAAGGCCATGGTGGAGAGTCAGATGAAGGGCGCCCCAGAGTGAGTGTGGGCAAGTGTGGATGCAGCCACAGGCCGGAGCTGGACGTCCAGCTACAGGGAACCCAAGCCGTGGGGTCCATCGGGCGCCCTGCAGGGAGCCAGGGGCTGAGAACACACAGGGGCAGGAGGGCGCTAGCTCCCTGGCCACGCCTTTCAAGCCCTGGACAACACCGGTGCATCTGGCCTCCAGGGTCCCGGGCTCTCGAGACTGAGCTGAGGCCCCACGAAGGCGGGGTCTGGTTCCGCTGACTCGCCCGGGCCCTGCCACCACACCCTTGAGACTGGACAGGGCTCAGTGATCGCAGGGGCTGTGGCCCACTGCGCGGGGCGCGTCCCTCAGTGAGGGCACCCCTGGGTAGCGTCCAATGGGCAGATACTGAACGGCCCTCCGGGATGGGCACCCAGGCCGGTGAGAGAGCCCTCCGGCCCTGTCCAGGGGTGGGACCTGCCTGGTGTGTTGGCCCTGGGCAACGCCCTCCTGGGAGGGTGGAGGGAGCTCTGACCCCTGGAGTGCAGGGGGTGGCACCCTGGCAGCACCCGCTCAAGGTCATCAGGTCCTTTGCAGCACGGCATGACGTGAGCATGACGAAAGTGCCACGGACCCTGGGCCCCGCCTGTGGCCTCTGACAGGCCAGACCCTCACTAGCCACTGCCCCCCAGGGCCAGGCCTGGGCCGTGATGGGCAACCTCGTGCTGGGGGCTGCGCCCTCCGCGCCAGCCTGATGCTGCAGCCGTCGGGCACGCGCCCTGTCCCCCACGCTGTGACTCATGGCCTGTCAGTAACTTGATGTCCCGGTGGACGTGGGGAGGGACCATCAGCCTGGGTGTGAGTGCAGGTCCCAGGCAGAGGCTGGCACCCCTGCCCTTGCTGTGTGGCCTCTGCCAAGAGCCCAGCTCCCTGGCCTCAGTGTCCCGGCCCACGGGCGGTGGCAAGAAGAGAGCTCAAAGGGCTGGAACCGCGCCTGGCCGTCCTCTCCGAGGGACGGAAGTTAGAGGCCTGTCCCGGCCGTTGTCAGAGACAGACGAGTGAGGAGGAAGGAGACAGACAGGGCATCGGCGGCTCCCGCTGCGCAGGCCTGCCCTGGGCCCGAACTCCGCCGGCTGGGGAGCGCGTTTGTGACTTGCTAGTTCTGGAACAAAATGGGAGCCGATGGGTCTGCTCGGCTGTCCCTGGCCATGCTGGAGGCGACAGAGGAGCCCCGGGCACTGGGGTTCACTTTCACCTCAGGGCGCCCTCTCCTGAGATGCTCCAGCCCTTGAACGTGAAACCAACAACCAAAGCAGGGCCCGCAAGGGGCGGGGGGAGGGGAGGCAGGGACTCCCCAGACGGGCCCATCCCCTTGGAGGCAAAGCCCCTTGGGCCTTCCCTTGCTTTGTCTCCAGGCCCAGGCACTCGGGGGCTCCTCCTCGGCACCACCCAGCCCCCCTGAAGGCTGCAGGCCTTCCTTTCTTCCCGCCCCAGGCCCGCAGGCCGCGGAGCTCCCCCTCTCCAGGGGAGAGACCGGCCGGAAAGCAGCTTTTCCTCCGTGCTTGCCTTTCACAGTCTGCCATATAAAGCGTCAGGAACGTTTCTCTTAAATGCTGCAGCTAAATATAGCAGGGGCTGGTCAGCTAGAACATTTTTAGAAAGCACATTACAAATCAGGAATGTTTTGGAGAAATAAATAAACTTTCCCACATTTTTGGACTTTGAGTGAGCACCGGGGGTGGGCGATGAATAATTCATGTTTGGGCTCCAGGGGCCA